TGGTAAGGTGGGCCAAAGCCCTAGATGGGGTGTAGCTCCATGGGCAGGGATGGAAGAAAGTGGTAAGGTGGGCCAAAGCCCTAGATGGGGTGTAGCTCCATGGGCAGGGATGGAAGAAAGTGGTAAGGTGGGCCAAAGCCCTAGATGGGCTGTAGCTCCATGGGCAGAGATGGAAGAAAGTGGTAAGGTGGGCCAAAGCCCTAGATGGGCTGTAGCTCCATGGGCAGGGATGCTAGAAAGTGGTGAGATGGGCCAAAGCCCTAGATGGGGTGTAGCTCCATGGGCAGGGATGGAAGAAAGTGGTAAGGTGGGCCAAAGCCCTAGATGGGCTGTAGCTCCATGGGCAGGGATGGAAGAAAGTGGTGAGATGGGCCAAAGCCCTAGATGGGGGTGTAGCTCCATGGGCAGGGATGGAAGAAAGTGGTAAGGTGGGCCAAAGACCTAGATGGGGTGTAGCTCCATGGGCAGGGATGGAAGCAAGTGGTGAGATGGGCCAAAGCCCTAGATGGGGTGTAGCTCCATGGGCAGGGATGGAAGAAAGTGGTAAGGTGGGCCAAAGCCCTAGATGGGGGTGAAGCTCCAGGGGCAGGGATGGAAGAAAGTGGTAAGGTGGGCCAAAGCCCTAGATGGGTCTCATTGTATGAAAACTCATTGTATGAAAACTCATTGTATGAAAACTCATTGTATGAAAACTCATTGTATGAAAACTCATTGTATGAAAACTCATTGTATGAAAACTCATTGTATGAAAACTCATTGAATGAAAACTCATTGTATGAAAAGCGATTGTACGAAGAGTTAGCACACCGTTTCTCGACCCCGGACACGACGTTCAAACTTCACTATAATAAACTAATGGAATTTGAATACTTACTGGGCGCCCGAGGCGCCCCTATGGCCAAGGCGCCCTGTGCGAGGGCACAGGTCGCACACTCTGAAGGCCGGCGTGGCCAGAACCCTCTCTTGACGTCCAAACATTTCTCGCATCTCATCTTAGATTTCAAGACGTATTCCCGCCCATCCAGGATACAAAATGGAATTAAATTCATATTAACCTTTAGGCTTTAGGTTGACCAAACGTCCCGTAAAAACTGGATTGTCCCGTTTTTTCACGATCGTACCCGGTGTCCCGAAAAAGTCTCTCGCGACGCCTAAATGTCCCGTTTCTAAAACCAAACACACTTTCAAATCACTAAAACTTCAATTTATTTCAATAAACAGTTTCCGGCGGAAGCCCCCGGAAACGGCATTGGGTGGAGAGTATCGCCCCAAACCCTCCTTGGCTGTGTCCCGTTTTTTCCAGTTCATGATTTGGTCACCCTATATTAACCTGATTTTTCTGGTTCTGCCAGCACCCCGTGGCCACGTAATAAAGTAATCGATGAACATTCCTAGTTAAAGACCGACATGTTACCCAACATTAACGGAGGTTAAATAGTTTTAATATTAGTTTCACTTCGTAGAGAATTCTGATTTTTGATTAGTTGAAACCTTTTCTATTCCATTTGATGAAAAAAAATAAACGTCTGTTTTGACGGGTAATAAAACTAGTAACATAATCATGGGGTTCACTCACTGCCTTTGGATCCATTTCCTGCCAGTACTTCACGTCATCGAACTTACACCCCAAGTCCAGGCAGCAGATCTGCTGATTCGTCGAGTGGGGCCGTGCCGTCGCCATTGGCTAAATGAATGCAGTAAATAATTAAAAAAAAAACAAAAACAACAAAACCAGCCCACAACGTTATATTTACAACCTTTACGAAATCACTCAAGTTAATCAACCAGAAAACACACTTAACAGGCAGTGATACAAAATGGACAAAAAAAAAAAGAAGAAGAATGTCCAGATTATAATTTTTTTTTTACTATAGTAAGCACCCCCCCAACCCCCCAAGACCCACCGAGCACACAGCACCC